TCGTTTTATCCAAACTTTAGGGATCGTCTTTTTGAGATTCGTATATATAAAGTCAACCAATAAGGAATTCGAGCCAAATACATTACAAATATGATCTTACATTACAAATATGATCTCCTGACGACGGATAGTCAACCTGTTCGAAACGTCGAGCCACTCCCGCCACTTATTCTCTCCAAGCGCTATAGTTCTCCTTAGAACTATAACCTAATATAAGAAAGATAACCAACAGTCTTTTTCAAGACTACACGAACAGTCTTTTTCAGGACTACACACCCTCAAGAAAGATTACCGAGAGTCCTTTTCAGGACTCCTCAATCCTCTCTCTCTCTCTCACACACACATGGTGCACCCGCAAGCCTACTGTAAATATGATCTCGTGTCTTAAAATGTCGATTTTCTACAATATCATCAACTAGTACGATACAATGTTTAAACCATTCTTTAAAAAATAGGGTTTTACCATCAAATGTTATGTTACTGTTGTACCATAACACTTCATTTCTAACATCTTCGACATGCAAAATGTCAATATATTTAAGTTTACTCCAGCATACGAGACAACTAATATAAAACTCACTTAGATTGTGTTTTGAACATAAAATCAAGATATCTTTGCGAGAACAGTTTGATTTTAAAATCAATGACAACGGACATATTTTTTCCAATCCAGAATTCAAACATAAATTTCCACGGTGTATCTTGGTTATTTTCAAAGAACTTTGATAACTATGCTAAATGCAGGGATTGGAACTTGGAATCCAAGTCTTTCTTAGGCTTGCATTTTTAGTTGTATTTATTAAGACTGATCTCTTTATCTTGTCTCTTTTTGAATTCCAAAGGAAATTATAAATCAATTGTTCAAGTGAACAATTAGTTTGTGAGAAAAGGCTAATACTGAAGCAACATACACAAATTGTGAAATTATAAGTGATTTAATTAAAACAACTTTACCATAAATGTTTACATTTCTTATCTTCCAGATATTTAGGATAGATTTAACCTTTTCAAGTTTTACTGACCAGTTCAATCGATCACATTCTTTTTTAATTTCTAGTTAGGTATATACCTAAATACTTGAGTGGATTATAATTCCAACTTAATTATTTTATAAATTCTATTTGAGGTGTCGTTGTTAACGTTTGTTTTCATTTAACATTTAACCTTGGCCCAGCAAAATGTCCAAACCTTCTGACTTCTTCAACTAAAAAATTAGCAAGGACAGCGTCATCAGCTTATTGTGATATTTAAAAAACTTTCGACATACCATTATTTGCAGAGACGACCGTGATACCATGCATTTCATTATTTTGCTTGATTTTGAAGGCCATTACAACAAGGTTGAATAGTAACGCAGAAAGCGTCTTTTACATAACACCTTCGCTGAGATCTTGTAGTCCGTGTTCAGTAACGATATTAGTCTCCAGTTGTCCAAACTCTATTTATCCCCTTTCTTATATAACAAAGTAAGTATACCTAATCTTTGGGATTCAGATACTTTTTCTTGTTGAATACCCTCATTTATACAGTCTTATAGCAGATATTTTACGTCGTTCCCGAAACATTTAAAAATTCCACAGATAAAACATTACTGCCAGGTGACTTGTTGTTTTCATGGATACAATAGCCTGCCGACATTCTTCTTCAGTAACCAGTCCTTCACATGACATTATATTATAAACATAAACTTAGTAAACAATCTGATATTGTGCAATGTGAAATATGAAAAAAGTCGTAACTGAAACGGGCACTGAGCTGAGAATGTTCTCTCGATGTTGTGCCGCAACGAATAAAGGATTACAGTCCTGAAGTAGAGTCTCATTGAAAAAAATGAGTAGGGTCTATTATTTAGCTGAGGCCTCCTTGAGCCTTCATGTCCACCTTACATAATATCCATGGATAAGGTAGCTTGATGAGTATTGATTCTGTCGGAATATATTTTAATACGTCTAATTGTTGAGATTTGTTTACCTATCATCGTTATCGTATTGTTGGTAAGTATTCGGTTCCCATACTCCCATCAAGAAATACCCCTAGTCTCTCGAAGAGTTTAAGGAAATTTAAGATAACAACTTTTTCATATGGGGCGTTTGGTTGTAAATGCAGTGCATTACATGAGACCTGTTGGTACAACAAAAATTGAAGGCTAATCCTGGTGTTCGACAACACAAGTTGTTGGGTAAATACCCGAGTGGTGTTGAATTCTCCATGGAGGGCCACTACTATGCCTCTTTAACTTAATCGTTATTCCTCCTCTGTATTCCTTTCTCCCCCGATCCCTCCCCACTTTATAATGTATGAACCAGTGGAAGATGATTTTGTTTTTCAATCGCAATGCTGATTTAAGAAATATACTATACTATATCATCTCCCTCTCTTCCTTATCACTCTCTTTTCTCCCATATAAGTATATATTATACCCGTTTTCCTAATGTACGCGCATCAGTCGCATAGACTATCACGGTAAGTTGTTTTATAAAGCCAGGCTTCAGAACTAGAGTACACTATTTAAAACACTGAAACCCTCACTTTCAAGATCAACAAAGAGGAAACAAACGTTCAAAGAGAAGGTTCCTTTCTTCGCTTGTTTGACAGGCCTTTATATCTCCTTCCAGTATATCTGATGGACCCATGTCACCCATCCCCTCACATTTAGTCCCTTCTATTAAAAGTTCCGCGTTTGTCTTTTTGCTTTGAACAAGAATATGGTTGACTAATTGTTTATCATAAATCTTTTCTTTTGAATTACAGCTTAAAAACGTATTTGAAAGATTTCGTCTCAATAATTTTCTTTGCCGTAAAATAGCGACTTTTAGCGATGTTTAGCGTCGATTAGCAACATTTGAGAGAATGTTTGCGAAAGGCAGTTGGTGTCTATTAGCGACTGTAAGCAAATGTTAGCGACAGTTTTTTGCGAAAATTAGCAACTATTTGCCAATTTTTTGCCACTAATTGTGAATGTTTGGGACCTTTTGCTAACTCTTGGTACGCAATGGATTGATTTTGATATAGGAACCATATGGTAACGTGGTCGCTAGCATTGGCGAATCAAAAAGAACTTCAGCGACACCGTCTTACAACCGTTTGCAAAGGCTTACGACTGATTTGCAAACGCTTGCAACTGTTTGCGGAAAATAAATTCGCAAAGAAATTTTGAACGTGTTTAAAATTTCTTTACGACAAGAAAAACTGTTTACGACAATGAAAACTGTTTGCAAACTCTCTTGCCATCTTTTACGAACCCTGGCGAAACCCCAAATTCGCTACGTTTGCAAGCATTCCCTGCTCAGTGAGATAGGGACTTTACCAATGTCCCAAAGAATCCCATCAATACCACTGGAGAACATTAGTAAATTCGCAAAAATATCCATGCAGAACCAAGACAGCTGCTGGTATAGGCACAGGCCTTGCCAATCCAATGCTGTCAGGCTTTACGAAAAATAACGTACACCTGTACGTTTTCACAAATGGGGCTCGATTGCTGGATAGTTAATGATCTAAATGGCAAGATTTGAAGAAAAAAGGAAGGTTTCACCAAGGGTAGAACAAAATTGAAAACCTTCTTCTTCTGCAGAGTTAAATATATGGTATCGATCGAAGTGGAAAGAGTGGGAGGAATATCGATTGCAAATTTGTCTTCGTAATGAGATTACCGGAGATTGAGAAAAGCTTTAAACGCCAAAGAATTTATCATTACATCATACAGATATTTCTGTATTGTTTAGTTACTATTTGGAGTTTATATACCAAGTTGCGGAGAAAAAGTTCTATATTATGGAGTTAATAGTTATAATATATGCCTGAATGCCTCTTTTCCTGAGCGTTTAAAGTATATTATATTGTTTTTAAATTAATGCAATTTAGCGGTAAGCAGCGTTATCTTTTATATTTTGTTTTTCGTTGTTGTTGTCGGTTTTGTTGGTCTCCATTTGGGGTGCAACTCCAAGAAGGGCAGTTTTCTAATCGTGGAGAACATGAATCGAAAGTGGGATTTTCCTGACCTATCCTCTATGGCAACTGATTTAATAACATTATTCGTACCATCTCCACTGATACGATAATCATTTTACAGCATGCACTTGCGCAACTATACAGTGCGTCCCAGAAAAAACGAAACCGAGAACTATGATAGAATCGATGATTTATCATAACTTAATCAAAATTATAATTGATAAATGACACATATTTGTAAATCTTAGATCCTCCTCTTTCATTTGATGCAACTCTTATAATGCATATTTCATGCATGAGTGATTAAAGTGAATTTGAAGAGAAGAAACCAAAAGGTCATTTGGCGGACCGTATCTGAATTGAAAAAAATGAGCTAGTAATAACAAAGTTCTGTTTGTTTAAAGTAGTGCTTGCATTTCCATAATTTTATTAAACGAATTCGTTTTCACTGGCTGCCTGCCGTAGCAACAAACGAAAGGAACGGAGTTAAAGTCACTGAGTAGTCGGCTCTCATGGGAATTCGACACCGTTCGGGTGTTTACCCAATAACAGATGTTGTCAATCACCAGGGTTAGCCTTGAGTTTTATGACCATTGGACCTTATGTAATGCTTTGATTTGCCCGAAGACTCTCGAGCTCTCCGAGAGATTAGGGGGTAATTCTTGACTGGACTATGGGTTTGCTGTGTGCAAATTTGTACCCCCATTAATGGTATTTCCACCAAGTCTGGTGTCAGCGAATTATGGCCTTCTGCACATGGAAACTGGCGATCCAATCCCTTTAAGCCTTTTGTACAAATTACTTTTTGGTTTCCTCTCTTCAAATTGATTTTAATCACTCATGCGTGAAATATGCATCATATGAGTTGCATCAAATGGAAGAGGAGGATCTAAGCTTTCCAAATATGTGTCATTTATTAATTATAAATGTGACTATCAAAGTTATAATAAAACATCGATAATTCTCGGTTTCGTTTTTTCTGGGACGCACTGGACTATGAATCATTAAAAACTTTTACACGATAATCAAACATTCTTTTATTTTCATAGGTGGAGAAGTTTCACGAAGAGAAATGGGGATAGTGTTCATCGTGTTTGGGTTTTTGGCTGTCTCTGTTCTGCCGTATACACCTGCAGAAAATACAGGTAAGATAATTGTTATACTAGTATTATTCCAATTCAACTGACCAAGGAAAACGATTTGCTAAATAGCTGAATGAATAAGTACATGTATTTCGTCGTCAAAATGTTCCTTGATTGGACACATTAATATTTTACTAACAAAATGTTATGTAGTTGAAACTAGATAGAGTACAAATTGCAACAAGGAATTTAAAATAGATGAAAATCTTTCATAAAAATGTATAAATATTGCTGATTTGAAGTTATTAATGCGTACTTCGTAGGAATGATTAATATCATACACATTAAGACGTGCTCTTCGCTATTGTGGATTTGGTATACATTGAACTTAATAATTTCTATGTATCTTGTCATTGTTTATGGAAAAAAATAGCATATGTCATATAAATGTGATTACATGATTATATTTAACAACATCAAAATTGCACACAAACGTTGCATTGTTTTAAAACTTAACTCCCTTGGGGATCATTCGGGCCAGGCGACATTTTACAGACACAATGATGAAAAAATTACACTGGGTATCTGATATACTTGAGGGCTACACATTTGGCCTGTCGGCTAAAACAAGAGTAGTACTTAGCGATGGTTCGGTGGTAGAGCAGTGGTCTCGTCACCTGGAGGTCACGGGTTCGAAACCAAGTCGACGCTTGTGCACTTCGGTAAGGTATTAATCCTCATTAGCAAGTCCCTCGGAGAGGACTTAAAGTCGGCGTTTCCCTGGTTCCCTACTTACAAGCATACACATACTTTCTTAGCATTCAGGTAAAACAAAACAATTGGAAGTTATTCAGAAAGAAAATATTATTTATACCCCGTCCTTTATTTCGGTAGACTTTTTAATTTCTGATTATTATGTACATGGATGAGGATATGAAACAGCATTTAAATCCCACCTGCACTAGTTTGGACAGGAGGGATTAGATTCCCACTTGGTCACTGACAGGTGGTTATCTCATCAACTAAGCCCTCAATTAACATAAGAAAAGGAGGATCATGGGGGACCAATGGTCACCGATTAACCATTGTTTTCTATATGTCCCTTTTGCAGCCAACATCAAATTCTGTAGAACTTTGCAGGAATTATGAATATGTCATGTATGTCCTAGCTGTGAAATTTAAACGTTAACAGTGTCCTAATATTCAAATTATGCAAGGAAACCCGTTTACTTGCTAGACTTCACTGTCAGACACTATTGAGTGACTGACTGGCTTTGTTCATCTTTGGTATAAAATGAGCCGTAAAGGGTACATGAGCATTTGTCTACATCAATAACACACTTCTTGTAATGGCCAAAATTAAACCGATTGAATCTTTATGCAGCATAAAACGTACAAACATTCAGTACAATAGTCTGAAAAATCAGACTATAACTTATTGGCTCTATAGCTCCTAAGTCGATTTGACAACTTATAGTCGTTATTTTCCCACTTAAAGACATTTTCAAGCCCACTTTTTTATAGGGAAGTTCTAAATTAGTATTGTCTTTCAAATGCTGTTGGAATTTAACCTTTTCATTTTTATGGCCTGCAAATGGGACATAGTACCTTTAATTGTGTTTTTATCCAGTCCAAACAAAATCAATTTTCCTTCCTTGCTGCTCCCAGATAACAATGAATGTCGGTTCGAGAACCGCTGCTACAATGGAGGAACCTGCTACAATGAATTCGGAAATGTTGTAACGGTTTCATATTTTTGTAGGGTTTGAAGTGATCTAATTAAACTCGTTCAAGTTCTGAAGTACATTACACTTTATTTCCTAGAGATGGGATGGGTGCGCTGCGGCTAGAGTAGATAGTTCATGAAATGGCATTTTCAATTCCTGGCTGTCTTGTCTTCAGTGGATGTATCGTTGTGTAGAGGTTATTTCACTTAACTCTTTTGGATTGAGGGTTCAAACACCAGCCCATTACTCCACATTTACCAATCTCCGCCCAGGTGTAAACGGGTGTCTGTCAATTCTATATATCTATCAAGATATCTTCTCTCAGCTTGGAGGCTGATTGTAACATTTTTCCACACATCTCTGTTTTCTGCTATCTTGGTATACTCTCGTATTGTCATTGCACACCATGTCGCAACGTTACCCTTCTAGTTACTTACTGTTTTCCCTCTTAGTCTGGTACCTTCTACTTTTCTTTCGAAAAATCTTTCATGATTCCGGCAATTGCTGGGATAAGAATAATTGCAGGACTCTAAGGAAGAACACCGTTTATGCCTTGGCTTCTTTGGTTTAAAGATATTATTACTTTTTTTTAATCACTCTTATTACCATTTCATTATTATTTTATTATTTTCATCGTTATTGTTTATATTACTATTATTATTATTATTATTATTATTATTATTATTATTATTATTATTATTATTATTATTATTATTATTATTATTATTATTATGAATTCATTGCACAGATACCAGCATCACTGTGATAGAAATTGAATGGAACGAACCCACCGTCATATCTTCACCCGACTATCCATCCTCCTACTACAACTCGAACCTCGACCTTACTTGGGTACTCAAGGCTCCAGAGGGTCACATCCTCCAGATACATATTCTAGACCTGGCCCTAGAGACGGAATACGACTACTTGTACATTGGTTATGGGCCCGGTCCCAATGAACCTGGTTCTTGGGAGCTTCAGAAACTGACTGGGTATAGCAATTCCAGTGAACCCGCTACACTCGGTCACTCTATGTGGGTCAGGTTCACCACGGATGTCTCAATGGGTGATATTGGATTCAGTCTTCATGTCACAGCTATACTAAACCCTTGTAAGATCATATTAGCCATAGGTTATGCTTCTTAAGAGGTTTAGTGGTCTCGTGGATACGTCACCGGACTGTTGATCATATGGTTTTCGCTTCGAGTCCCGCCGAGGCACTAATGTCCTTTGGCAAGACATTAATCTATCTTTGTTAATATCCTTACAGACATAGTAAACGGCAACCCGGTAGGAATTTATTCCTTGAATCCTTTTAACGCCTTAGTGCAACTGGGCTAAAGCCAGGGAAATAATATTACTTTGTAGGCTCCTTGAGCTTCCTCTGGAATGAATGTGTGTGCAATGTAAATGTAGCTATTATTCTTATTATTTTTTTTAGTTATGTTTCTTATTAGCAGCCCATGGGCCACACGGGGCACGCAAGACGATTTAATTCGGCTTATCATCATTTTAAATAGTCAAAAAGAAAGAAAATTTTCCACTGCTGTAGGTGGATGCGTAATACCGTATCACTGATTATTAAACGCATCAACAATTTACTTCCCTCAATCACAAAAAGTCAGTCATACGATATTTTACCTAGAATGCTTTGATGAAATACATTATCAAAAATGAAAGTAAGGATAATTTATAGAGTATCCTTTAATTTCCTATGAAGCGGGAGGGAAAATATTCCACTAACACTAGATTGGTTGTTGGTGTAGTGTTATCCACAGAGGCCTGTATTAAAAAAAACGTAATTTTAGAAATATTCCTTTCCCGCCTGATAAATAAGTTAAGAACCATTGACCTAGACACTGCGCTGACAGAGGTTGTTGAAGATAGGTAGGCCTACAATAATTTGTTTGCCAGTTATGCTTAAGACATCTGGCGAAAACTGCACGTTGTATAAAAGTGAGGGTCGTGCCACATAATATTTGATTTCTTGTCCAGAGTGATTATTTCAATTATACTCAAAGTATTTCATTAAGGCCCCGTCTTATAAAGAGTTGGGATTGATCCGCATCAATCGCAAGTTTGCAGCCTCCTATCTCTTATGTACATCCTTGCGATTGATATCAATCGCATCTAAGTTGCGATTAATATCAACTCTTCATAAGACGGAGCCCAGACCTTATATTGCTATTCGAAATCTATCAGTTAAAGTACACGATAACAGATTGTTTACTAGAATTGAGATTATCTATAATATGATGCTTTAAATACTTCATGACAGCATGCAGAAGCGGTCAAGTGCAATGTTCTAGTGGAATGTGTATCAACGAATCGGCAAGGTGTGACGGAAATAACGACTGTCTCGATTTCTCAGATGAGGAATACTGTCGTAAGTTTTGATTTAACGTTTACATTCGCTTTTTAATTAATTCATATGGTTATACATGTAGTTTCCTTCAATTGTATTGCACACCTATCAATGCATTTCTATGTTATCTCTATATATTGAAGTATTTTTACTTAAGAGAGAGGGTTTTTTTCTCCCCTGAGTATTTGTTAAGCAGTTTCCCCAAACACATCAATTACGTCAACACACAACATATTCCGTGATTAGGTGTGATAAGGCGTGATTAGGCGTGATTAGTTATACGTCGTAAAACGAAACGCATGTTTGGACATCGTTTCGTTATACGACGTTTCGTTATACGACGTATAGTTAGTAAGCGTCCACACACACAATTTCATAGTATAACTATCGCGAAACAGTATAACTATCCCGAAACGGTGTAACTAATCACGCCTAATCACGGAAAATGTTGTGTGTGGACACGGGGAATGTGTCATATAGGTTGTCTGCTTTCCCGATTTCTCTGACATGTTATCGCTGTTTTTTACCCTTCATTGATCGATTTTCTCCTACCCAGCGTACTGCGAACAAGTTCAATTTGATATATGTAGACAGAACCTGGCCTACAATTTGACTTTTTTCCCGAATCGGAACGCAGAGACAGCAGACGCTGCAGCGGGAAGCTTTACAGACATGGTAAGCAGCTGAAAGTCTTTTTAATTGCTTTATAAAGAAATGTTGAGTTTTTCATTATTATTGATGGGTTTGTCCAGATTGTTGGTGGTTTTCATAGATAATGCCAGGAACGATTAATTAATTAGTTTTAACTTTAGTAGAACACTGTCTGACTACGATTATTGACCTGTATATCAACCAATGAATTTGGTATTTGTTAATACGCATTCAATAATTTTTTATTTTTTTTTGGTATAAGTGATTATTTTCGAGGGGATATGCATAATAGCAAAGGTAATCACACAGAAGGATGTATATTTCATACATGTAACGACTGAAAATATGTTGGAGATCTTTTTTGATGTAATATTTATTGTTTGTCTGAAAATACATAATGTATGTTATATTTGTCGGCACGTGGTCCCCCCTACCACTTGCAAGAGCTGCTGGCTACACTGACGTTGTTGATGTACCATACACATCTACGTTGCAATTGCCTTTGAAAATCCTGACGTGAAATCCTCAAAGTTTATACTTTCTAATGACCTACCATAGGCAGATACTATATCATCGTGCCATGATCACCTGTTCCCTATCATGTGCTCCGTTTACTATCCGGAATGCACCCATAACGGCCCCACCCATCGGGTTTGCTACTCCGACTGTTTGGCAGTCACTGATGCCTGCAAGGCATCCTTTGAGCAACTCCTCGACCGTCCATGGCCCGTCAACTGTTCGATGTTTACCGATGAACAGGAGGAAGATGGGAGCTGTTTTGGCCCTATGGGAGGTAAAGACCATGCAGCCATATTCATGTAGATGATATCGAGTTAAGAATATGCTTGGACTTAACAAGATGCCCTAAGTGTTTATAAATCATAGTTCATAAAACCGAAGAAAATATGTCGGCATTTTCTATTGAATTCATCACACGTGGCAGTGGCGTACAGCTAATGAGATGGGGATGGCGGCACTGATCTTACTGCCAAGTGGATTTCTAGAGAAACAAGAAAATCAGCAACCAAATGGGAGGTGGATTGGAGAGTATTCAAAGATTGTCTGTCATCTTCTTTGGGCCTCCTTTTCCCTCTTTTCATTTTATTTTCGATTGATGCTTTGTTTTGTTTCATTTGCTGGGGGGAGGCGAAGGGGTGCTATTCAAATTGGGTGGATGTCCCTTCCCTTCCCGTCGTTGTGCCACTGACTTGCGACTTTATTCCTCCCCCAGATCTTTTCGATACCAACATATGCGGGACACGCCCTGCATACACACCATATCAATACGAGGTTCTTGGTGGTACCAACGCACGCCCAGGGGAATTCCCTTGGATTGGTTCACTCCGCATCGACGGATTGGGTTTTGAAGGACGTTGGTGTGGGTCTACCCTGATCAACTCTCAATGGGTTCTTACCGCAGCTCACTGCGTGTAAGTATGATGCCACTAATCTGACTCGTTTGCTCTGTGGAAATGGAAGCGAATTTACACCTTACCTTCATAGGGATATTTACTTAGTCCAATTTTTATAGAAGCAAACGACGTGTTTACCTCTAGATTGCATGTAAATAATTAAACAAATTATGTACCGAGTTTTCGTCTAAATAATCATAGTCATGAAAGTTTATATACAGAGTGCGTCCCAGAAAAAACGAAACCGAGAAGTATCGATGTTCTATTATAACTTAATCAACTATAATTAATGAAAGATACATATTTGGAAAGCTTAGAGTCTCCTCTTTCATGTGATGCTACTCAGATGATGCATATTTCACACATGAGTGATTAAAAGCAATTTGAAGGAAGTAAACCAAAAAGACATTTGGCGGGCGGTATCTGAATTTCGAAGAAAAATTCACATTTCCAGAAAGTTGAGTTTCTGCCCTTTCATATGACACCTCAATCAGGAAAAATGAGCGAGGAATGACAAAGTTCTGTTTGTTTAAAGTAGTGCTTGCATTTCCATAATTTTATTGAACGAATTCGTTTTCACTGGCTGCTGCCGTATCAATAAACGAAATTAACAAAAAAGTTAACTCCGTTTCGTTGACAATCAGCCGTAGACGAGAGTCTTTATTCATGGCTGATTGTCAACGAAACGGAGTTAAGTCTTTTGTCAAATCTGCTTTTTGCTACGGCAGGCACCAAGTGAAAACGAATTCGTTTTTTAAAATTATGAAAATGTAGGGGCTACTTTAAACAAACAGAGCTTTCCAAATATGTATCATTCATCAATTATGGTTGTGATTAAGTTATGATAAAACATCGATACTTCTCGGTTTCGTTTTTTCTGGGACGCAATGTATAAAGTATCACTAGTAGTCAATATATGTGCACCAAATTCTATATCCGTTCTTTTGAACAGACCTACCCAACCACAATATCATGTAAAAGCAATATTTTATTGAACTTTGCGCTATATGAAAAGCAATTGTATATATGTATGAAATAAATAGAACAAGTTAACGCAAATCGTAGCATCCCCGAAATCTAACTTACGCTGTGTTTTGATACCATGTACCTTCATATCAAATTTCATACAAATCTGTCAGACATTACTAAAGTTATCGATCGGAAACCAGATTTGTTACGGAAGGACGGAAGAACGGACGGCAGCGTTACTATATCCCCTCCGACTATAACTATCAGATGACGGGATTTCACTTCAGTGTCGTTACAGAATTATGTTTAATTTAGAGACTTACATTTACATGACCGTATAACGTCTGATGTATTAGGAGCTAGTTAATTTCCCTGTGTGATATAGCAGATACGACGTTTGTAATTGCAATGACGAAATCGTCATTGCTTTGTTTTCGTTTACATTCTTCCCCATTAATATTCTTCTTCTTTGCAATGACGAAAATCGTAACGAATATCGTCATTGCCTTGTTTTCGTTCACATTCTGCCCCATTAATATTCTTGTTTTCCTTATCTTCCGTATGGTCAGGAAATCGCATTCGTTTTGCTCATAGTGCTTGTTATTCCTAGTTAGGTGCTTTCCACATGTCCTCTTCCTTTCAAATTTCATAGGCATAGTCTCTAACATCTCATCAAGGTTGAGACATTCTTCGATTTTCGAAATCACTCATGCATGACCGTCCAGGCGCCATTTTGTCCGTGTCTGGTCCATTTTAAGGCCTTTCTTTCTTCCTTTCTATCTCCACTATCCTAGATCCTACAAACTTCTAACAAATTCCTTTAAATATTCTAAGAGATTTTCTTTCATCTGCGACTTATAAGCTGATCTTCAAAATGCCATCTTCGTACTCAAAATTCAAATCTGAAACCGAGTCCGTCAACAAATTTTAAAATTCTTGAAAAATGGACCCCTACAAATCTAAAACTGCCATATCTTTCTCATATAAATTCTGTTTTGGTTTTAGATTTTATAGTATGGTATATGTTCACACACAAAATTGTGAGTTAATCGCATTTTAGACACCATATTATACTGTTTATGATTATGTAAGTATAGACGACCGTTAGTGCCACATCGCCCGTCATTGCACGCATATCGTTGTGCCACGATTGCAGGTCTAGTTTATAATGAAATCATGATGTACATGTATGAAACGACAGTTAATATGTAATATATATCATGCTCAAATAAATGCAGCTCCATTGAGATGTCCTTTTAATATACATGATTATATTTCGCCCTTGTGAAAATCACTGATTTTACATCCAATATCATTTATAGTGATTACTACGTCGATCGTGTGGTTTTTGGGAACGCACATTTGACGGATGACTCCGACAACGAAGTAGCGATTGAGGTGGCTGATATTTTCGTCCATCCCGAGTACGACGTCTATTGGCTCTACAACGACATCGCTCTGATACGACTTGCTGAACCGGTGACATTTAGTGACTACGTCAGACCCGCGTGTCTGTCGGAATCCTCGGATGAACTCAATGACTATCGTCGCTGTCTCGTCGCTGGATGGGCAACTAAACTGGAAGGCTCACGTATGCATTGTTTTAATTTATATTTGATGATGATAATAATAATTTGATTTATTTAAATAGCGCAGCCACTCTACTGCTCTGTAATGAAATCAAAACTCCTAACAGTGCTACTATACAGACAAACAATAATGAATAAACATTTTAATCCTGAAAACAAGTGCATTTTCAACAAAACTTTGAAGACAGCAACAGATGAGGCTTTGATAATGATAATAATAATGATAATGAAAGAACATTTCCCATTTTGTAAAGCGAATTTCTCAAATAAAACGAAGTGTGTGTGTGCGTGTGTGTGTCCTTAAATGCAATACGATTTCTTCAGTTTTATACGGGTGCCGGTATCACCTTACAGTGCATGTCAGAGTATACTCCATTACATCAATACCCAATCACTACGCCTGTGTCAAGAGAGACGACTGAAAATGAAATACTTCGTCTAAGAATATTCGCAGCGGGAAGATATTCAAACTGTCGGCCACTCTTTTGAAACATGATGTGTATGTTTTTTGCTTTAAACTGGTTTCCTGTATGCAATTTGATTCTGATATGTTTAATTATTTTGATCTTCTTTGCCTTCATATTTATCCAGTCTTGTGAAAATTATGCTCGTGGAGGGCTAGCCTAATACAAGGACCTAGGACTTTTCTTTAAGTTTTCCAATATTCATTTATTTTCATTCTTTTTAAGGCTCAGGTATTTATTAATATCATTACCCAGGTTAAATCATGATGTACTTTATGTATTTATTTGTGAATATATATACATATATATATAATGAATGACACAATTAAATTGTATTGAATTGAAATTGAATCAACAACACTACTGTGCTTCACTATTTAGTTGCTGATATAGGTTGCTCCTTTCCTTTAGGGGTTAGCCAATCAATTCTCTAGGTTATCTGATTGAAAGGAATGTGATATCCAAAAGGCCTCTTAATAACAGGGAAGCTTTGAACAATCACTTCAGTAGTTCTTCTTCACGTAGATCTCAAAATTCATAACCAATGTTATTTCATCCACCTAACTTAACCCTAAAAAGGCCGGGATATTTGAGGTCTTAGTACGGCCGGGGGGCATTATGGCCCCCCCTTAAAACTCGGCCGCGAAGAGGTCGATCGCCGCGAAAATGTGCACGCACAGGCGCGTACGCAGGGGGGGGGGTGTTTGGGGGGTTAACCCCCCCCCCCCTTTGGTATTTTTATGTGTGAAAACCCTCCTAAAAAATTCCTAAACCCCCCCCCCCCTTTTTTTTTTTTTTTTTTTTTTTTTTTAAATATTAAAAAAAAAAAAAACCCATGGCTGACCTAAGAAAGCTGTCCTTACCCCCCCCCCCCCCCCCCCCCCCACTGAGCGACTTTTTTGCCGGCGCGATTTTCAAATTTTCCTGAGTCGTTGCGAAATTTTGGACCCGATTTTAACCCCCCCCCCCCCCCCCCTTTAAAAAAATCCTGCGTACGCCACTGTGCACGCATGTCAAGTGAAGTGTATAGAATAATATGATAATTTCAATTTTTTGAAAAATACACTCATTTGCATATTTATGGTAATTTATACAAATAAAATCATACAAATCACATTTTTACTCATAAATCATATATTATTTATATTTATGCATTCTTTTTCACTACATATATTCATTAGACCATTCTGAATAACAATACGACAAAAAAAATTGGAAGAGCATGCTTATTCCTTATGTCATCCCTTGTTTTGATAATTTATTATGTATTTCATTGTTTTTTAAACTTATGTATTTCATTGTTTTTGTTGTTTTATTTCATTCCTTACTACAATTCAACTATTTTGACTCCCAAAACAACCACCTAAACTTTAAACAAGACCCAATAACCCATGTTTTATCTGTTTTTAGGAAAAATTACTTTTCCTTATGTTTTGTACACAAATCACGAAAATGAGCGATTTTCGGGCTGACATGCAAAGACGAAAGGTCACGTGACCTTGTAACCGTAGGTCTGATTTTCAAAAAATTTCTTTTAAAAGTTGCGCAAGACTCGAAAAAAAAAGTCAGCGAGTGGCGGGGCGCCATCCATATGCGTTCCCGAGCAATCAGAAAAATCGTGGAGGGGGGGCCATAATGCCCCCCCCCCCCGGCCTAATTAGGGTTAATACCCCTATTCACCCAAATGTCATTAAATACGGTTGGTTACAAAATAAAGAAATCAAGCTAAATAGCAGTGTTGAAACCACTTTACCTTTCCATAACTCTTTAAATGGTTTCAAACATTTGATGAAAATTTTACTTGAAATTCGTTTGCTTACAGAAGATGTAAACGATGATTTAATTTAATCTTTCGCAGCGTTGACAGAGAGCTTGAAAAAAGTAGTGGTGACCCTTCTTGACCAAGACTGGTGTAATTCTGAAGCTTCCTACAACGGGTCTCTGACAGAAGAAATTGTATGTGCTGGATTTGAGCCAGGTGGAATTGATACTTGTCAGGTAACTGCTATCTTTGGCGTAGCCTGAGTGTTAACCATGGGGGGCACAGGTATCATGGGGGCGGCGGTATCAGACACAATAGGCAACTGTTATGAGGTTTGAATTAAAGAGAATGCTACTTCTACTTCTACTACTACTACTACTACTACTACTACTACTACGACTACCAGTGGCGTACGCAGGATTTTTTTTTTCAAGGGGGGGGGGGTTAACAGGCAGCCGCTGAATAAGCGGGGGGGGGGGGGTAAGAGGATATTTTTTTTTTCTTTTTTTTTCGGGGGGGGGGGGGTCCCAACAAAATCGCAACGACTCAGCCAGCTCCTGAATAAGCGGGGAGGGGTAAGAGGACACTTTGGGGGGTAAGGTCATCTCTCTTAGGTCAGCCATTGGCATAATTTTTATTTTATTTTTTATTTTTATTTTTTAATTTAAAAAAGACAAAATGAAAAAAGAAACACAGAGGGGGGTTTGGCTTCAAAATACACACATAAAAAAACTGAAGGGGGGGGGTACCCTGTCTAAGCGTTTTAAAGATATTATTATCCCGGACACCGGATTCATTCATACGCAAAATGTGCAGCATCTCCATTCTTTGAGGAGTATTCCGACCACATGGTCGCCGAGAGGGCATAAAGCAATAACTATCACACAGGCTTCGTGCTCCTACAGTGTCCACATTCAATCCTGGGTATGGAGTGGCAAATGTAGATTAAGGCCTTGTAAATGGACATCAGTGCCGTGCCGGGAGTCAAACCCATGACCTTCGAATTTCCAGTATAGCGCTTAAACCTCTCTACTACGATAGCATGGAAGGAGATAAGGGCATAGGGTTGAGTCATTACCTTTTACCCGAGTTGTTTTTCTGCTCTCCCATCATATTTTATTTTCATCAGACCGATTATTTGGGCTGTACTCCCGTTTCCCTCATAACTGTGACACTGACTGCAATGGTATTTTTTTCACTCAGTAATTTTCAATTTTATATCCTTTTTGTCTTTGTTTCAGAATTTGGACACACTGACTTGCATACCCCTTTAATATATATCAAACTGCCAGGTTCCGAATACAAGTACTTTTTTGAAAGCTACACATGTGTGTGGTCCTATGTAGGATATTTGTTTAGTTTGCAAGTCATCCAGTTAAATTTTATTATCTCGTGTTTATTATTACAAAAATCAGGGAGATAGCGGTGGGCCTTTAACCTGTGAGGGTGATGATGGTCGATGGCATCTGGTCGGACTAACAAGCTTTGGAGGAGGATGCGCAAGAACACGCTTGCCCGGCGTCTACACCCGAATCTCAAAGTTCCAGTCATTTATTACAGCTGTGGTTTCAGGAGGTGAGTACACCTGTGCAGGAGAAACAAGACTTTCAACAACAACAACAACAACACAAAAAACAATACACGGCAATTTCAAAAGCCTTGTCCACCACCTACTGAAATGTGCTTGCATTACAATGGCGTATTACGTAATCCAATAATTTTCTTCATGCCATTAAAATTGCTGAGGAGTTGATTCTTCGAAACATTTTGAAATCGGCTAAAGGTTAAACCAAGGAATGTATGTGCGACTGGCCAATTGTAACTTTCTGAAGCCTTCTGTTTCCCATTATTTTATTTGATCAACTGGCCCCTTTGACCGTGAATAATAATGATAATAATAATAATAATAATAATAATGTATCTTTATAGCGCATTTTCTATATACATGTTCAAATGGGCTTACATCGAAAGGGTGCGGTGCGGCGCGGTGTGGTGAGTTCAACGCACCCATTCGATAAAAGGCCCCCCGCTTTTCTCGAAAGGGTGCGTTGAGAGCGGAGGACCGTCTTAGCACACCCTTTCGAGAAAAGAGGGGGTCTTTTCTCGAAAGGGTGCGTCGACTAATCTTTCACATCAGTCGTTTAACAATTTTAAGGAATAGAAACTACTTTTTGCGTAGTGTTGCAGATCAGGCATTTATAAGAATTAAATCAGTAAATAAAAAGAAACACAATGAAATAATTAACTTAGATATTTAACAAATGTTAAGCATAGGTGTTTAGCTAGTCTTGCATGTCAGTCGTTTATTTATTGAAATAAAACATAATATCCATTTCTTTTTTTTTGTATGGAATTCAGTTTTTAAATGTTAACTAGTCTCGCATAATTGTCGTTAAAGTGACTCGGTAACATTGTTGAAGGTTGATGAAAAAAATTGCTTAATTTTTGTATAAAATGTTACTTACTATATTACTTCTACTATACTTACCCTCTGACATGCAACAAATCCTGAACAAATTCTCAAACCACAAAGATATCTATGGTTTTCTTTGAAGGCGTCGATGGGAGGCACCCTCTAACAGTGATTAACAGTAGATTCTCCCAACCATTTTTGAATTTTCCCAACCGTTTTTCCATGAAAATACATAAAACAGGCTATAAAAATATGTCAACACTTAACTGTCTGGAATGGAATGTATAGCCATTTAATTGCTTTGTGACGATTTACATTCACCTAAAATGTAATTAAATTGTCCTTGTCTTGATGCTGAACAGGCTTTGACAAGTAGCAGAATAGAAGTAGAATAATATAGTTGGGAGAATTAAGGAATCGATCAGATCAGTTTTTCCCAATTTATACCATGAATAATGATCCGTTTTCACTCAAATTTTCAGATTATCTTTAATTGTACATCTAGCATTAAAGTAACTACCTTAGCATCACTATCTCTCATCTGAACAATGTTACCAAGTCCCTTTAAATTACAAATAAAAATTAATTGCCATTTTACTTATTCAGACACATGTTTATGTATTCGTTAAGTCTTGCTGAAAAAATGTAGGGGAGCACATGCTTTTTCATGTGTTTTATTTTAACATTTTGCCAAAACAAATTGAAATAATCTTTAATTGTCTATACCAGTCTGGAAAAATGTATTCACCGGCATATATGCCATCTATAATGGTTGTTATCACATCCACACAAATTTAGATTTAATGAAAGTCATTCTTTCACATAATATGCCCTTCTTTAGTTCAAATTAATGTGTCACCTTCATAATCAGTGATTATCCAATTAAGACAGCAATTACAAGACATACCCAATCAACATTCACTCACACTACTTTCACCCGGTTCAACTTTTCTAAAACTTCGTTGTTTTATAAACGTAATGTTTCCTGGGAGAAATTTCAATCATTTAAACATGTGGCTTACACCCAGTAAATAAGATCGATTGATCGATCTGTATTGAAAAACAAGTCAGAAAAAACCTTGGGACCAGCGGGACTTGAACCTGTATCTACTGCTTGCCGGGCAGCGACTCTACCACCAGGCCATCACTGGTCCATGGCACAGTCACGATAAACTAGAAACAAATACCCCAAGCTCTCCTGATTCATTCTGAATTAGTCCGCCATAGGACAAATAACTTCGTTATTGATGCTAATAAATTCGTTATTGATGCTAATTAAAAACACAAAATGTAATAAAAAAAAGTTTGATATAAAAGTCAACATATTTATTACTTTTCAATAAACATTACACTAGCAAACAATAATAGTAGTAACAATGAAGGTATTATGGTGAATTCAACAGAGATGGTTCCTTGCATGGGTCTGTGACACTCAGTGTGCTGATCCTATAAAAGCTCCACCCCCCCCCCTCTCTCTGTCTCTCAGGCGCGGACCCAGGGGGGTCGAGCGGGCCTTGCCCCCCCCCCCCCCGCAAAAAAGAGAGAAAGAAGGGAAAGGGAAAAAGGAGAGAAAGGGAAAGAAAGGGAAAGAAAGAAGAAAAGAAAAGGGGAAGAAGGAGACCGGGGGCGAAAAGCCCTTGCGTCGCAGGCTGTTGCCTCCCTCCATAATAAAATAAGAAAGAAGGAAGGAAAGGCAAAGAAAAAAGGAAAAGAGCAGATAAAGGGAAGGAAAATGGAGGAAGAAGAAAAGAAAAGAAGGGGTATCAGTTGCAATTTTCCCGCCAACAAGATCGGGATCGGAAGGGGGCAAATGGCCCTTGCCTCCCTTGCCCCCCCCCCCCCCGCCCCCGCTAAAAAAGGAGAGAGAAGGAAGCGAAAAGGAAGCGAAAAGGAAGCGAAAAGGAAAGAGGAGAGCGAAAAAGGAACAAAAAAAAAGAGAAATAAGAAAAGAAAAGGGTAAAAAGAAGGGGAGATCAGTTGCGGTTAATCCCGCCAACAACATGTGGATCGGGGTGGGGGCCGAAAGGCCCTTGCCTCACTTACCCCCAGCAAACCTAAAAGAGAGAAGGAAGGGAAGGGAAAGAGGAGGGAAAGGGAAAGGTAGGGGAGATCATTTGCAATTTTTCCAGCAAACAAAGTGTAGATCGGGGGGGCACTGGCGTACTGATAGGGGAGGGGGGACTTGGGGGAAATAACATTCAAACATGGTTTATGTTAAATTCCATAACGGTGATTTACAAATAATGCTGAAATTACATAATTTCCGACATTTTTTCTAACTTACTTAGTAAATTATACTTTTTCATGCATTTTGGGGAAAATTTGCAGTCATACAAGAAATAGGTTTTTCTGAGTTGCCTACATGACAGGGCCGCAAAACGGCAGGGATCTGAAGCCTCGAGCACCCCCCCCCCCCACAACTTATTTTGAAAAAGTATATTAAAGAGAAATAGAAAGAAAGAGAGCAAAAAAGAAAGAGTAGTTAACTGCCAGTGTCACAAAATAATAAGGTATCAAAATATGTTCATCTGACCGTGATTAAATGCCTAAAATCCCTCAGCTTCCGGGGTCTGCCCACTGGACCCCGCCTAGGGCCCTAAGGCGGACCTTTTGGATGCTAATCTGATGGTAATTTAATGCCTAAAACCCCTGAGCTTCTGGGGGCTCCGCCCGCTGGACCTCACGCCAATTACTGTCCTGCCATTGTCACAAAATAAATAAAGTATAAAAGTATGTTCATCTGATCGTAATCAAATGCCTAAAACCCCTCGGTGGGGGCGGTTCCCCCAGAACGCCGGCCAAAAAACAAAAAAGAGAGGAAAAAAAAAAACATTTTTGAAATTCAGACAAGTATTTCGAAACGTCTTCTCTCTCTATAATACTTTAATGATACCTCAAAGCTTCCGCACTTCGCGCGGGAGGGGGGGCGACTGAATTCAGACTAGGATTAAGAGTCTAGAACGGTACCTCGAATTGTCTTCTTAAGAGTCGAGAACGGTACAACGAATCGTCTCTTCTTTTTCTCATGATTCAATGAAAAGTAAAAGCTTCAACGCTTCGCGCGGGAGGGGGGGGGAACTGAATCCAGACAAGAATTAACAGTCGAGAACGGTACAATGATCGTCTTCTTTCTATAATAATTTTAATGAAATGTAAAAGCTTTCGCGCTTCACGAGTGAGGCGGGAACCAAATTCAGACGAGAATTAAGAGTCGAGAACGGTACAATGATCGTCTTTTTTCTCGAATAATTTAATAAAATGTAAAAGCGTTCGCGCTTCGCGCGGTAGGGGCGTGGATGGGAAACTGAATTTAGACAAAGATTAAGAGACGAGAACGGTACAACAAATCGTCTCATTTCTCTAATAATTTAGTGAAATATCATAGTTTCCGCGCTTCGCGCATGAGGGGGGGGACTGAGTACAGACAGGGATTAAGAGTCAAGAACGGTACAATGAATAGTCTTCTTTCTGTAAGATTTTAATGAAACGTCAAACCTTGAGGAGGAGGAAGGAAAAAACTCGCCCCTCCCTGCACCCCCCCCCCCCCATTACGTCACTGCTGGTCACCATTACGTACCAATATTTGGCTCGCATAATTTCAAATTTGCCCCCCTCCCCTGAAGCTTTGACATTTAATTAAATTAATAGAGAAAGAAGACGATCATTGTGCCGTTCTCGACTGTTAATTCTTGTCTGAATTCAGTTGCCTCCCCCCCCCCCCCCCCTCCCTCCCGCGCGAAGTGCGGAAGCTTTGAGGTTTCATGAAATTATTATTATTATATACTTGTCTGAATTTCAAAAATTCAATTCAGTTCAATAATAATTTTATTAAAAAACAATGCCTCGCAGCCAAAATGCTGAATTGTGCATGTTTACATGTGTACATGAGCTTCATTACATAACATTATATTTCATTTGTTACAATCATTCATTCAAACAGTATTGGTAACATTTAACAGTATTCATGTGTAGCATTTAAAACCAATCACTATATATTATTTACATTTTTAAAATCTATTAAACTTCACAATAGTAATAACAACAGTTGATCAAAAGCAATACAATACATAACATACAAATAAGTAAAAAGCTAATACTGAAATTATTGCACCTGTGTCTTTAACAATTCATATTCATTGAAAATTAAAAGTCAGCAAAATGTTGCTCTGTGTTGCCTGTTCATCAACGGTAAGTACATAATTATAAATTGATGTCTCTGTAAAAAGATAAACATATTCCAGAGTAGGTTGTAAAACATGGTTTCCTACGTTAAAACTAAATCATAGTTGGCTATGTATTAAAACATTAGATAATGATAAACATATTTATCAAATTTTGTTAATATATATATATATACATTGTGTAAAAATACATTTCAATTATTCATTATTTAGAAGATCTATAAGGTATGGTATTGCACTCTTTCTAAATCTGTTAGTTTTGCACTTGTACTGGGTGTACTTTGTTGTTCTTCTCAAGCAGTAGCGACTTTCCTGTTTTTTAACTAGCCAATTCAATGAAAAGGGATTTTCTTCCAGATTATGAGCAAATGTAAGACATAATTGTTTTCTTCTTTCCTCAAGAGTCACTAAGTTACATGTTTCTAATGCACCATTGTATGAAGTATAACTACTACCCAGAATTATTCTACATGCTCTCTTTTGAATTGATTCAAGTGCATAGATGTGCTGTTTTGTAAGAGCTCCGTTGAACACAGGGGCACAGTACTCTACAATCGGTATTATATATCCTCTAAATATGGTGATGAGATCTACAATAGGTAGTTTGAATGATTTCAGTCTCCTGAGTATGTACAACTTCTTGTTACTTCTCTTCAAGAGATCAGTTACGTGTTTATTCCATTTTAGGTCACTCTGTACGGTCACTAATGTTCTTTGCTCTTTTTTTTCCTACGTCATCTTCCTTTTATCTCCTCTCTTGTTTGTTTTTGTTTTTTGGCCGGTGTTCTGGGGGGATCGCCCCCACCACCCCAACCACCCCATTCTCCTAGGGCTCATGGGTTTTAGGCATTAAATTACCGTCAGATGACCATATTTTGATACCTCATTATTTTGTGACACTGGCAGTTAACTATTCTTTCGTTCTATTTCTCTTTAATATACATGTACCTTTTCAACAACAACAAATCTGGGGGGGAGAGGGGAGGGAGCTCGAGGCTTCCGATTCCCGCCATTTCGCGGGCCCTGGCATGTAGGCAACTCAAAAAAGCATATTTCTTGCCTGACTGCAAATTTAGGAATTTGCCATTTTCCAAGAAACGCATAAAAAAGTATACTGTTTACTAAAAAGTGAGGAAAAATCTCGGAAATTATGTCATTTCAGCATTATTTGTAAATCACCGTTATAGAAATAAAGAGAACCACGTTTGAATGTTACTTATACCAAGCCCCGCCCTCCTATCAGTACCCCAGTGACCCCCCCCCCCCCCCCGTTTTTTCTATTGTCTGTCATGATTTGTTTGATTTCGTAATTTTTTTCTCAAAATTAAGTTATAAATGTATAAAGTATAATTATTATTGTGCGAACCTACATCTAACAAGCTTTGCTTTTAAGTAGGTTCGTTTTTTTTCATTTCTTGTAATTAAATCATTATGCTTTACAATAACTAAAATCAATGTCAAAGATAGTTCAATGCTCATTTCTGTTATATCATTACGTTTTTGTTTTTGTTTTTATTGTTTATATTATGTGAAAAGAAATGGAAAATGAATTCGCTCTGTATAGAGCTACTACTACTACTACTACTACACTTTGTTCGCTGGAAAAATCGCAATTGATCTCCTCTACCTTTCTTTCTTTTTTTTTTCCCCCTTTGTCTCCTCTTTCCCTTCCCTTTCTTCTCTCTTTTAGGTTTGCTGGGGGTAGAGGATGCAAGGGCCTTTCGGGCCTCACCCCGATCCACACGTTGTTGGCGGGATTAACCGTTACTGATCTCCTCTTCTTTTCACCCTTTTCTTTTCTTCTTCATCTTTTTTGTTCCCTTTTCGCTCTCCTCTTTCCTTTTTCCTTCCTTCTCTCTTTTTTCAGCGCGGGCGGGGGGAGGCAAGGGCCATTTGCCCCTCCCCCCCCCGACTCACAACTTGTTGGCGGGAAAATTGCAACTGATATCCCCCTTCTTTTCTTTTCTTCTTCCTCTATTTTCTTTCCCTTTCCTTCCTTCTCTCTTATTTGTTTATGGGGGGCGGGCAAGCAACAGCCTGCGAAACAAGACCCTCTCGCCCCTGGTCTCCTTCTTCCCCTTTTCTTTTCTTCTTTCTTTCCCTTTCTCTCCTTTTTCTCTTTCCCTTCTTTTCCTTCTCTCTCTCTTTTTTTTGCGGGGGGGGGGGGGGGGGGGGGGAAGGGGAGGGGGCAAGGTCTGCTCGACCCCCCCCCCCTCCTTGGATCCGCGACCGAGAGACATAAAGGGGGGTGTAGCTTTTATGGATCAGCACAGAGTGCCACAGAATCTAAATTTGTGTGGATGTGATAACAACCATTATACACTGTTGCTCATAACGGTGGAATATTTTTTTTTATCCCAATTTATGGAATTATTTAAAAAATAATTTAAAAATACTAGATCTAGATAATAGTATACAGTCTCAGATTTTATTGAATAATAATTTGCCAATATGTGTTTTGCGTGACTGCTAAAGCATGTATATTATGCTACTATGTTTATCAACTAGGGGACCTATGCCCTTAAGTCATAAATGACAGTAATGAGGATTAATGCCTCACAAAAGGGCTCTGATATAGCACATCGACACGGTGTTGATCCTGGGGCCTCACAGTTACGAGGCCATTGCTTTGTCACTGAACCATAACTGTACGCAGCGGGGGCTAGGGTAGGGGGCAGTTTCCATAAATTTAAAAAAAAACAGAAAATGCAATAAATATTCAATAATTTATTGCATTCTACCCCGGTCCCCAACATAAAAAAAATCCTCTGGACGGCCATGCATTATGGCTCAAGGCATGGGCACACAGAAGATTTTTTTTATGTTGGGGACCGGGTAGAATGCAATAAATTATTGAAAACTTATTGCATTTTCTGTTTTTTTTTTAATTTATGGAAACTGCCCCCTACCATAGCCCCCGCTGCGTACAGTCATGGTTCAGTGACAAAGCAATGGCCTCGTAACTGTGAGGCCCCAGGATCAACACCGTGTCGATGTGCTATATTAGTGCCCTTTTGTGAGGCATTAATCCTCATTACTGTCATTTATGACTTAAGGGCATAGGTCCCCTAGTTAATAATCATAGTAGCATAATATACATGCTTTAGCAGTCACGCAAAACACACATTGGCAAATTATTATTCAATAAAATCTGAGACTGTATACTATTATCTAGATCTAGTATTTTTAAATTATTTTTAAAATAATTCCATAAATTGGGATAAAAAAAAATATTCCACCGTTATGAGCAACAGTGTAGATGGCATGTATGCCGTTGGATACATTTTTCAGATGGTATAGACCAGGCCTTCTCAACTGGCGGCGCGCGCGCCACTCGTGGCGCTTGCGGTCAGTCAGAGTGGCGCGCGGCTGTTCCAAAAAAATAATAAAACATAAATAAAAATTAAAAAACAAAATTTAAGAAAGAAAAAAAATCATAAAATTATATTTTAAAATAAAAAACTCAGCAAAATCAAAAAGTCGCAGTCGAAGTTGAGCCCAAAATGTAAGCAAGCCATTTTGTTTGTTTGATTTTCACTTCATTTTGACATTTTCCGTGTTTATTGCACCAAAATAATACATGTAAATTAACTTCCAGTGTAGATTTTAGCCAGGAATTGTACTAATTATTTCACATCAATATGAAATTATGATTGATGTTTTATGGAACAAAAAGGTGTTAAAAATGCCACATCTGGGCCTTAAAAAAGCCCTAAAATCCACTAGCTTCCGGGACCCCACCCAGTATCGTCCCGGTCGCTACGCTCCCTCGCAACACAGTCACCAAACATAGAGGTTGGCACTTCAACCTCAATAAATTTTTATTTTGGCGCTTCTAATAAGCTAGTTGAGAAGGCCTGGTATAGACAATAAGATAATTTCAATTTGTGTTGGCAAAATGTAAGAAAAACACACATTAAAAAGGGTGTGCACCCCTACATTTTTTTCAGCAAGACTTAACGAATACATAAACGTGTGTCTGAATAAGTAAAATGGCAATTAATTTTTATTTGTAAGTTAACGACAGTTATGCAAGACTATAGTTATCATTTAAAAACTGAATTCCATATAAAAAAAAGTAATGGATATTGTTTTTTTATTTTAATAGATAAATGACTGATATGCAAGACTAGCTAAACACCTATATTTGATATTTTTTAAGTATGTTTCTTTTTATTTACTGATTTAATTCTTATAAATGCCTTATCTGCAAGACTACGCAAAAAGTAGTTTCAATTTTGATTATTTCAATTTATAAAACGACATTTCTATTCCTTAAACATTTTAAACGACTGATGTGAAAGACTAGTCGACGCACCCTTTTGAGAAAAGACCCCCTCTTTTCTCGAAAGGGTGCGCTAAGACGATCCTCCGCTCTCAAGGCACCCTTTCGAGAAAAGCGGGGGGCCTTTTATCGAATGGGTGCGTTGAACTCACCACACCGCGCCGCACCGCGCCGCACCGTTTCGATGTAAGCCGTTGAAATGCGCATTACGGTTATATTGTTAACAGAAAAGGAAAGTTTTGAGATAATTTTTGAAGGTATTTACAGATAGGTGGTTACGAAGAGATCGGTAGGTTATTCCACAGTTTGGGAGCAGCAGTTGTGAAGTGAAGTGGCCCTCTGGCCAGCACATCAACCTGTCCTTCGATAGGAGTCCGAATTCTTCCGATTATAAGTTCACAGTAGTCAAATTTCAAGGTTCAATTTTCCGTCTTAAAATGATGTTCTCAAAAATATGTTTTTAAAAAAAATCATAAGCATTCTGGTTACATTTATATTTCTTTCAGCAATAACACCGGGTGTTATTGAAATTACCCTTGAGCGTGCCGTTTCAGTGACCATCACTTCTCCAAACTACCCTTCCAACTACAACATCGGCGATAACATCGTCTGGAAGGTATCGGCCCCTGTTGGACACAGCGTCAGGCTGGACATCGTCAACTTCGCTATCGAATTTGACTACGACCTCTTGTTGGTGGGCAATGGACTGACGCCACTGACTTACACAGAGCTTGTGAGCCTGACTGGCTATGGGTTAAATTCAACTTGGACGTCACATGACCGCCATATGTGGCTCAAATTCAAGAGTGACTCCTCACAGACTGATGTTGGATTCATGGCAACACTGAACGCTGTGGATCCAAGAGGTAATAAGGTCGTCTGTGTGTCATGTTGAAATTCTAGGGATTTGAAAATCTTCCAAATAATCAGATGATCTTAAAATTATTACACATCAAACATACAATTTCTTAATTTATTCTCGTCTTTTTTATAGGAAAAAACATGCCTGTATTTCTGCCACATTTAGTGTTATCCTTTTTTTTTTTGGTAACAGATGATAATCTTCTAATCTTGGTGAACGAGTCTATGGTCCAACAGCTCCGCTCACCAGACTTTCCTCTTGGTGCAAGAAAAATGATAATGGCTCCTCAGGATCACAGCGTGAGGGCGCGTTTCGACTTCTTTAACCTCACCGACGATTCTTTGCTTGCCGTGGGCTACGGCTCGATTCCTTTAATATCCACAACCCTAGTGAAGTTGACTGGAAGTGAATTGCCGGAAGATATTACCTCCCCCACTCGAGAATTGTGGTTTAGATTTGTGTCGGTTACTGGGAACTTCAATAAAGCGGTCGGTTCGCTTATGGGAAGTGGATTCGTGGTGAATCTAACAGCAGTAAGGACTGAAGGTGAGATGTGTATTTCTTCTAACATTAAAATATTAATAAACATATTCATTAATCTATAGAAACAAACATGGAAAACTCTTTTAACCTCGAAATACGTTGAAATAGTTTTAAAAGGGAACTTTTCTGAAGAAAAAAGCACGACAGTTGATATATTAACAATAAGAGAAACAACTAAACATAATACCTCAGCGCGACCAATTTGCAAAATTGTGAAACCTATATTGATATTTATTACGTTATTAAAGTTGTAAAATCAACAAGGTGTTTTGCTAATAGTTTGCTTTTCTCCACCACATTACAAAAAACTAAAGACAATTTAGGCATTTTGATGTGAAAGAATATCAATACTTTCATTACTTTTGCTAAATGAACAATGCTACTTTCCAGAATGTAACCCTTGCCAGAATGGAGGAACATGGTCAGACATCCATGGAAGTTTCCCGTGCTTCTGTCCCGAAGGCTTCAAGGGGGATTACTGTCAAAAAGGTATGTCTCCGCCCTCATACTTACAATATTAGTTTTTCTTTCTTGTAAATCGCGTATCACATAATGATAGAACCTCTCTATGCGCCCTTAAGGGATACTCTTTGGATGCTATTACCCCCCTTCTTTAGCTCCGGCAAACATAGGCGCTCGGTGCATTCAAGGAATAAATCCTGCCAGGTATCCACTTCCTACACCTTGGTCAAATGTAGATAAATGTCTTGCTTAAGTACAATTGCTTAGCAATAGGCATTTGAAGCCCGTACCTTATGGTTCACAGTCCGGAAACACCAAGTACAACACAACACCTCTGCTAACCGAGCTCTCATAATTTTTCCCTGAATATGAATATATATTTATATATATAAATAATTTGCAGAAGTACCTATTTCAAAATTAAGACCAACTTTTTTTGGCAAGAGCACTATACGATTTTGTGTTTGATGCCGTGTATGCTTAATTATGGGTGAGGGTCTTTTCAAACGGATAGCACTAAAAGGATTGACAACATTTTATGCTTGACTAAGCACTGCCTAATTTCAAAAAGCTCGTAAAAATTGGTTTGCGCAAAAATGTTTCAGTCTTGATTTAGAACAAAGTGCTGTTTTTGCGAGTTACACTATCATTGTTTTGTACAGAAATGTTACACAAAGTCTCATTTTTTTTTCAAAGTGACTGTGCAAGGATGACTAATTCACTCAACTCATTTTCAAGGCGTGGAAAGCACCGTTTTATATTTTGTACATATCTCTATTGTGACCTTGTTCTCTTCTCCAACGTTCAGGTTAGGACAAGACAAATGGACTCGATACCCTCAAGAGATAGCACCAAGAAGAGATAGCTAGACAAGAATATAATCATTCAGTAAGGCAGTGGTGTAGAGGGGGCCTCTGGCATTACTGGGATAGGCAGTAATTTTATTAGATGGATGAAGTATAAATTGTCGAGGCTACCTACGGGGGTAACGAGGCAGGATACTTTATTTACTTCTTTTCACTTTTCCTTTCCCTTTCTCCCTTTTCTTTTTTTTTTTTTTTGGTATACATCGTGCCCCTTGCATCTACTTCATAGGAGAGATTGGTTCTTCAAAGTCATGAAAAAAGATATTTAATACGGGAAACGGGATATATGTGTATATTAAATCTCTCTATTTTGAATATTTACCACGTGACAATGTAGCAGATCTTTAATTGGCTCAAAATACTGAACCATAACTTGAATGATAATTTTTTTCACGCTGTTTTTTATAATTGACATATCAAACTAGTTTACCCAATTCACATGAGCTACAATGATGAAACTTGGTCAGGATTTTCCTTTCACGGTAATGGGGTTTGGTCCTCTCAACAATATGTCAAAACATCTGGAATTTAATAGAAAATATACGAGATAATACCAACATTTTCTATGTTTTTTTTTAAACATATCATTTACAAGGTATATGTGCATTTTTATAGATGAAATAAATCAAATGAAATAATGATTTTTTCCGGGGCCTACTAAACGCCCCTGTACTTTTTTTGTAGCTCTGCTGGCTTCCAAACACGTCGAATTCCCCTATACTTTTTGTTTGTATTCTCTTATATAAAATTATATCTTAAATGTTACATATTTGTGGTGATAGAGAAATAATTATAACATATATAAAAATAATATCACTTTATGTAGTCTAATACATTCGTCCTGCACTCGTTGTTGTTTTGTTTTTATGTTAAAGTCAGGTGATGTTCATCAATACTGGGAAAATTTGATTTTTATAACTTATTTATAGAGAGTAATCTGAAATACGAGTGTGGTGAATGTACACTTTCTCCTTTTACAATTTGAATGTATATGGTTCATGGTTCATGTCCTTGACTTTGAATCGGGAGGTTGAGGGTTCGAATCTTTGTCGGATGCGTACAATGGCATTTGACTAGGCATTTGATCAATACTTGCCTCTCTCGACGTTACTATGAACATGGTACATGTATGAGGAAAACGATTACGTGTCGTTTTTGCGTTGTTTTTCTAAACAAAGGCTCATATTCACAAGTATGTCGATGACACATGAATGTGTTATCAAGCTTTATTTTCTTGTGTACTGTTGCATATTTAACTATACTCTCGATCTATTTTTCGTTATTTCTTGACTTTGACATAATCCCCTTGATCCCTTTTCTTTTTCTTTTTCTTCTTCTTTCCCCTCTGTACATATACAAAATATTCCTACTTGACCTCTGCACTCAGAGAGTAATAACTCATTGATGTCTCGATTTGGTGTCAGCTTGGGTTTGTCCATATTAGATCACCCTCCCGTGGGAGGGTTGATTTTTGCTCATATGATACATATTTTCACACATACAGTGAGTTTGTTAGCTCACCCGGTGTGATGGGAATGTGCGCATCTTCTGGTATACGTGTTGTAGTCATCCATGCTGTGATCGATGCATCGTTGGGTAGTTGTTCTCTGAGAGTATTTTGTAAATAGCTTTATATATTCCATATTTGTTGTTGTATTCATGAATCAGTTATCTTTGTCACATCACATGAGGGGGCCTTAACGTATAACAAGCTGTGCTTCAACCAAGGTCTCCTCGTCGTTCTTTATTCTACATTGTACTGTTATGATTATACTCTATTATATTTTTTCACATGTGTTTTTCTGGAAGACAAATAAACTTGATACTTGATACTTGATACTATTAGCATGTATAAGGAAAACGATTGCATGTCGTTTTTTAAATATTTTTTAACGAAGGTTCATATTTCAGAATGCTCGTTATTCCTCAAATTCATTCCGAATGTTCATTTTTCCCAAGGTTCGTTGCTCCAAAGTTTCGTAATCCCGAAAAATGAAAGAGGGCACACAATTCCAGAGGTTCTTAATTCAGGAAAGGTAATAGAATTATAGAACCATATGTAATCTTTGGAATGATGAACCCTATATATTTCATTTTCAGAATTATAAACCTTATTTAATTTCCCAATTATGAAGCTTAGGAATTACGAACCTTCAGAAAAATGAGCCGTCGGAAAAACGCGCGCCATCTCTTCCCCTAGAAAACCATGATTCTTGTAAGTGGTTGACCTTGAGTATCTTCCATTGTGTCCTCTGTGGCAGGACATAAAATCTATATTGGCCACTCTACACCCATGGCAAGTGTATAAATGTGTATTACCTTGTAAAATTCTTTCATTCGAACACACAAGTGTGAGCCTATAACGGTTACCGTAGCTAATGCCGGGATACTTTTACAAGGTAATTTTGTAATGTGATATGCGCCATATAAAACGGAATGGTATCATTGTTGTTATTACTGCGTACCAATGTATTGTCTTTGTATTGATATTCCACTTTATTATGCCTTTTCAATTGTACTTGTTGAATACTACTTGTTTTTCTTTTCTGGGAAAAAATAAAGCAATTATAAACAGCTGATTACGTTTTTGTCCATTGTTTCACGATTACAATATCACAATTTTTGGTATTAAATTATTTAATATATTGTACAGTTTAAATAAAACTGAATGTGGCAACTTAATAGGTAAAGAAGTGGCGATATGATATTTTCATGTATAATTCGTTGTGTGCTCAATTATAATATATTAGTTGGATAGGGGAAATGCAAATCGTTCAAAAGTACAGTTTACATTACAGGCTATAGGTCTCAGTTTTACCTAAATCCTTAAGGTTAGTCTCAAGACTGAAAGTAAAACTAAATCCAATCATCATCATCATCATCATTATCATTATCATCGTCATCATCGCCATCATTATCATTATCATATTATCCTTATTATTATCACTATTAATATTGATATTATTATTATTATAGTTATTATTATAATTATAATTTTTATTATCATAATCATCATTATCATCATTATTTTTATCATTATCATTACTATTATTATCATTATTATCATTGTTATTACTATTATTATTATCATTATCATCTTAATCATTATCAGCATTATCTGCATCGGCATTATCTGCATCAGCATTATTACTAAAACTATACTGCTAATACATGCGGCTGCTGTTGCTGCTTCTTGCTTTTATTATTGTTCTGGCTTCTTCTTCTCCTTTTCCTCCTACTTCTTTTTCTCTCTTTCTTCTTCTTCTTCTTCTTCTTCTTCTTCTTCTTCTACTTTTACCCTTTCTTCTTCTTATTCGTCTACTTCATCATCTTCTTCTCTTTTTTTTTTCGTCCTCTTCTTTTTTTCTTCTTCATTATCTTCTTCTGAAAATCTCACTTCTGCTTCAAAGTGTCTTGTTTCAGATAGTTAATTTATTACATCCAATATTTTATTCTCTGTTTTAAAATTGAGAAATCTGATATAAACATAGAGATCTACATGTATGTGAGATCTGTGAATAGATGACATCGTCTTGGACTGACGATGTAAAGATTGGTCCAATTCCCACTTTTTCATTTGATGCATAAGTTTATCTATTTTGTAACACAGCATTACAAATAAAATGTAGCTCACTTATTTATCGTAGCAACAGGCAGTTGATATCTTTAGTATTACGACTTAGCCCAAATTAACTTGCTGCACCTTTACTTAGTAATGTGATTTTGTACAGTAAACAAGGAGTGGCATTGGTTTTCAATTATTATTCAGAAAAAGATGGATGGTCTATCGATCGCATGTCCAGACCATGACCTCGGGAGGAACAATATTTCACAAGTTTATACTTTTAAGAATCCAACTGTTTTGGGGCCTTGCTTCGCATTAAGGGGTCGGGTATCACTCGTAATGAACTATTTTGATAATTTCCTGAAAATTCTTGCAGAAGTCAGTGTTAAATGACATCCTCTTTCACTTTCGTCATTATACAATTGAAGAGAATTGTTGCCATCAATTTGTTTGGGCTCCCAACACTTTAGAGAGGCTTTAAAAAGATTTGATTTGTACATGGAATAATTTATTATAGGTTTAAAATCAAGGAGAAAGTATGCTTCAGAGAGAAAAATGAAGATAGGGGAGAGGGAGAGGTGAAGGATGGAGAGAAAGAGAGAGAGAGAGAGAGAGAGAGAGAGATTGAAATAGAGGAAAGGTACGGAGAGAGAGTGACAAATTGAGATGGAAGTGAGGGACGGAGACAAAGAGATAGAGAAATTAAAATAGAGGAAGAGGGACAGATAGTTAGAGAGAGAGGGGGCGTTGAATAGAGAGAGCGTGAGGGAGAGAAAGGCGGAAAGGTAGAAAAGGATAATTTAGGGGAGAGGTGAGAGATGGAGAGAAAGAGAGATAGAGAAATTGAAATAGAGGAAAGGGATGGAAAGAGATTGAGATGGAAGAGAGGGACGGAGATAGAGAGAGATATATATATAGAGAGAGAGAGAGGGGCGTTGAATGGAGAGAGCATGAGGGAGAGAAAGGCGGAAAGGTAGAATGGGATGGGAAGGGAGAGAAAGAGTGAGAGGAAGGGCGGCAGTGGGTGTTAATTTGCAAACATGACGGTGAAGCACAGACATGGGGAGAGAAAGAAGTGTTGGAGAAAAAAGAAAAACGGAATCGTAGAATTAAAGAGGGTCAGAATATAGAAAGGGGTGGGTTGGAGAACAGTGGGCGGGGTCAGATATTTAAACAGGTTTAGAAATTATTTTAAACAATCTTTAAAAATGTGTATTTACCTTAATTCCTGTCTCTTGAAAATGGTACCTAGACCTCTGAACGAAATAACAATTATCGTATATTTTGATTTAGACTAATAGTCCTACTCTCCACCTACTTATATGGCATTAATTAGAGGTCACTTTTGCCATTTTTACCAGTGGTAAACTTTCTCATTTATTAACAGTCCTACTCTGCACTTTAATACTATGACATCAGTTAGAGGTCCATACCAATA